CACTAGCCAGGTCCATATCTGGGATTCCCAGAGAATGGCCACAAATTAGTCAGAGGCTTATAAAGGCAAATCCCACTAGGTTACATACTTCTTGCCTTCATCAAATTGGGAGCAAGCTTACATCCTGAAGTACTTCCTGCCTACGCACCTCCTGCCTATGTACCTCCCGCCTACATGAGATCAAGCATATCCTGTGAAGTCGGGGCAACCAATTTGTTCACAAAAGAGAAAACATGTGGCTTGTTATCTTACATGAACATCAGCCCCCAGAATTCTAGAAAGTTGTCTGTCCTTGGGCAAGTGGGGTTACTTTTAGATCTCTTAAGCACAGTAATTAAAACTTAAAACATAATTTAGCCTTCACAGTGTTTGTTATTTTTGAGTGTGTATATGAATGGTAGTGTGTGTGTGTGTGTGTGTGTGTGTGTGTGTGTGCCACTAAAGTGCATGTGCTTGCAAAAGTCAGAGGAGAACATTGGGTATCCTGCTTTACTACTCTTCTCTTCATTCTTTGGACAGCGAGACAGTCTTATCTATCCATCGGTCTCTGCCCCCGAAGCACTGCAGCTACACATGTGTGAGGCCACCCAAGATTGTCATATTTGTGCTGGATATTTGAATGTAGTTCTTCATCCCTGAGCTGCAAACACTCTTATTCACTGAATTAAGGTATTTCTTCATTGATTTCCATTTATATGGGGCTAAGAAGGGCTTTACTAGTAACCCAGCAGAAAGCCAAGGCTTTACTTACAAGCTAAATTCAAAGATATTACAGTTGATGAAAAACCTAGTTCATCTGACATATGAGGTTGATTCTTAACATACTACTTGTATGTTGTAGAGCTGGCATTACATAGCACATGGTGATGGTGGAATTTCCAGATGTATTTTTGAAGGAATTCTTGGGAACGGCATATAATCAGTGTCTATGAATGGTTCATGATTTTCAGTTGCTGGAATTCTAGTTATCTAATAACTATACATTTGGCTTCATTAGTCAAAGTTTATAGATTGTAGAATTAGAATATTTGCAAGTAGTTTTACACATCTGCACTCTGAAACACAAATAATTCATCTATTGCTACAGAATTATACATAAAATACATATATTTATTCAGGAACGGTGGTATACACCTGTTATTGCAGAACTCTGAAGGCTGCAACAGGAGGATTGCAAGTTCTAGGCAAGCCTAGGCTAGACATTAAATTCTAAGTCAGTCTGGACTACAACTTGGAGATTTGCTTGACTGCTGGATTACAGATGTGTACCAACCCTGTCTAGCTGTGTCTTTTTTTTTTTTAAATGAAGACTCATGGAAGAGGGAGGAGAAAAGGAAAGATTAGAAAAAGATACCCTCTCCTAAACAACTTCCTACCCTGTTTTTAGGTCATAACTTCTGTTAGATCCTTTGTTTCTTTGTTAAATTTCTGTCTGGTGGTCCTGTTTAGTGGTGAAAGCTGGGTGTTGAAGTCTCCTACTATAAGTGTGTGTGGTTTTATGTGTGGTTTGAGCTTTAGTAATGTTTCTTTTGCAAATGTGGGCGCATGCATATTTGGGGCATAGATGTTCAGGATTGAGACTTCATCTTGATGGACTTTTCCTGTGATGAGTATCAAATGCCCTTCTTCATCTCTTTTGATTGATTTTAGTTTGAAGTCTAATTTGTTAGATATTAGGATTGCTACACCAGCTTGTTTCTTGGGCCCATTTGATTGGAAAATCTTTTCCCACTCCTTTACTCTGAGGTACCTCCTGTCTTTGAAGTTGAGGTGTGTTTCTTGTATACAGCAGAAGGACTGATTCTGTATTCGTATCCATTCCGTTAGCCTGTATCTTTTTATGGGCAGGTTAAGACCATTGACATTGAGGGATATTAATGCCCATTGATTGTTTG